ACCAGTTTGCTCTTGTGTTTCTGTCCCCATGTGCCCTGCTCTGTGCCCCCAGGAGTCTGTGCATGGGGAGGGACGACCTGAGGTTCTGCCCTCTGCGGGGATGGGGGCACGTGGGCTGAACCTCGTCAAGCTTCTGCATGGGGCTCTGGCACCTGCCTGTGTGCTGCTCTCGGCATGGGGACAGAGACCGGCTTCCTTGCATGCGGGGGCCCTGTGCAGGCCGTGGAGAGGCCTGCCGAGATGGGAACACAGGGAGGGAGCACTGTGGATGGCAGCCGGCTCCAGGCTGTGGCATCCTGAGTGGGCAAGAGGGACCTGGGTGGGGGTGGGGAGCAGTCGCGCCGCAGTCTCCAAGAGGGAAGCAGCAAGCCCTGGAGACCTTCTCTGGGACACCGAGGGATGGCCTGGGGAAGGACATGGTGCCAGCTCCTGATGAGCAGGTAGTCCGCACCACATACGGTGGTGCTGGGGGTTGGGTGCTGGATAGAGGGGCAATGGGATGTGTGGAGAGGGGTCAGGTACTGGAATTTGGGGGTGCTGAGTGCCAAGAAAGGAGCTGGGATGAGGATAGAAGGCAAACAGTAAGAAGAGGATTGGGGAGCAGGAATGGGGCCCCAGAGCCTAGAGTTTGCAGGGAAAGAGGCTGCTGGGAAAACCAGCCCGGGCAGCAGGGCAAGCTGCAGATACCCACAGGAGAGAGAGCTTCCCCTGGCAGTGTGAAAGGAACGTGAGGGCTACTGGGGGACACCGTGAACTTCTGTGTATAGAAGGCAGGAGAGTGTGGAGGGCTGAGGCCCAAGAATTTTGGAGAGGAGGCAGGCAGGGGTTAGGAGGTGGCAGAAATACGAAAAGGACCCTTGGAAGAAGGGATAAGCAGAGTGCAGGGGTGGTCTCCCTGTATATCCTAAGGACACCCCCAGACTGGCTGGCTGAAGGGGTAGTTTGGGGAAACATGGGGATACAGGGTGGTATGAAGTGAGGTGTAGAAGAGGGAGGAGGCTTCCAGGGAGGAAGGATAGAGGCAACTGCAGGAAGCTGAGAAGCAGGAAAGCGAGGAGATTTGGGGCTGGGAGTACCACATCTGGCAGAGGGCGCACAAAGAGCTGTAGAAATAGAGAGACACTTCTGCAGCATGCTGGGGTCCATAAGAGAGGGAGGGGCAGACGTGGGGGCTGTGGTAATGGAAGGGCTTGGCTGTTACTGGGGTGTGTGGCTTTCTGGAAACCTAGCTGTGGTCTTGACAGTTCTAGCTGATGTGATCTTGAGCAGGCCCTTGCTCTGTGCCTTAGTTTACATAGCTTTAAAGATGGGAACACTCACAATCAACCCCACCCAGAAATGCTGTAATGACTTAAATATTAAATGACCCAAAAGTGGTTGGCATTGCATGATTCTTGATGTATTTGTGTCACTAGCCGAAGTTAGGATAAACCCCAGAGGCTGGAGGGGCATTTGGGGTTTGTCTTAGTCAAGGCTTTCAAACACCATGAAAGCAAGTTGGGGAGAAAAGGGTTTATTTGGTTTACACTTCCCTAACACTGTTCGCTGAAGGAAGTCTAGACAGGAACTCAAACAGGGAAGAATCCTGGAGACAAGAGCTGATGCAGAGGCCATGGAGATGTGATGCTTACTGGCTTGCTTCCCATGGCTTGCTCAGCCTGCTTTCTTATAGAACCCAGGACCTCCAGCTCAGATATGGTACCACCCACAATGGGCTGGGCCCTTCCCAATCAGTCACTGGTTAAGAAAATGCCCTACAGCAGAATGCTATGGAGGCATTTTCCCAATCAAGGTTCCCTCCTTTCAGATAACTCTAGTTTGTGTGTCAAGTTGACATAAGACTAGCCAGCATAGAGGTCTCCTGCTGAACTTTGGGGTAAATGTATGTGTCTGAGGTATGGGTGGTGTGACATGAAAGGAATTGTAACTACAGTTACTCAAGTATTTTCTC